GAGTGGGGGAGAAGGAGGAGGCTCGCTCTTCACTGTAACATGTATGTATTATTTGGTTGGTTCACTAGTTGAAACAGAAATAGTTCCCTGAATCCCTGAAGAATATTTAAAGTGATTAAAAAGAAGCTGACTTCTTCAAATGAGGAGCACACAGCCCAGACGAGGCTGGAGCGAGAGCCGCGGAGGTGAAAGGCGAAGAGGGAGGGTGTTCCAAGAGGCCCCCTCCCCTTTCGGCACTCTGCAAGCCAGGCCCACAGCAGCAAGAGGCTCAGTTCCACTTCTATCCCCCCCTCCACTTATTATTTTTTATTTTTCATTTTTTAATATTTTATTTTATTTTATTTATTTTTTAAAGCCATGCTGGCTTGGCCGCCATTCAGCGAAACATGTCCTGGTTTGTGGCCTGGTGGCAAACATGCTGCCCGGCCACAAATCAGTACACGTTTTGCTGAATGGTGGCCGAGCCGGATTACACCCTGGAGCACCCAAGCCCCAGGGAAGGACCCCATCCTAATGGGAATGGTTTCCGCTGGACCTGCAGCTTGCCAAGGGGTGGAAGACTCATGTACTGCAGAGGGCAGCAGAGATAAGGGCGGGTGACAAGAAGGGGCGGGCGCGGCGAAGCAGAGTAGAAAGCGGTAACAAAAGGCATCTCCGGAGCCTGAGACTTCCCACCCTTCCACCTGTGGAGCCACTCCAGCCATATCGCAGGGAAATGGGCGGCCGCGCCTGCGGGTGACAGCTGCTGCTCCCGGCTCTGCTGTTCCTCGGCGGCGCCCAGGGTCAGCTTTGAGGTTAGCGCTCCATTCTGACAAGGCTACGGGGAATCCCGAAGGGTTGAGTGGCGACGGTTGAGCCCTTTGCCATTGTCACCTAATCTGTGAGGATGGGTCCGCGTCTTGAGGACCGCAGTCCAGGAATTCCTCTCCTCGATCCCCCCTCCTGGGCCCTTAAGTCAGAGACCCGCATGCCTGATTCGTCCGGACACACAAGGCGAGGGTGCGGGGAAATGGAGCTAAAGGGGAGGGAGGTCAGCACGCCCGGGTCAGCGGGGCACGATGCTCCGGCAGCAGAGGAGAAACACCTTTGATTTCTTCGTGTGGTTTTTTCCTTCAGCTCAGTTGGGGAAGGTGGAAAAGCTCCCCGGAGTCCTTGCTCCGCCGGTAGCACGTGTCGGGTTGCAATTGTGGATTTCCACGCGCCTTTCTCCATAGAAAGTCAGACACTGACTTTCAGTGGCCCGAGTCTTTTGGAGTGTCCTGCGGCGGGGACCGAGGAGGCGGGGGGGCAAGGTGGCAGAGCGCGGCAGCGGCGAGAAACAACACCCCTGCTGCTGTGTCTGACAGGCGTCTCACGTTTATGTCCGCCATAAACGCGAGACACCTGTTGGACACAGCGGCGGGGGCGTTGCTTCTCACCGCTGCTGTGCTCTTGCCTCACCAACGGTAACCCTCACCGCACGTCACTGCCTAGTGGTATACTTACTAAGATAATGAATGGAATTAGCAGTGTTCCAATATTTCAGGAGATGCCACAAAGGAGAGGGAGTCAAGCTTTTCTTCAAAGCACCTGAAGGTAGGACAAGAAGCAATAGGTGGAAACTAATCAAGGAGAGAAGCAACTTAGAAATAAGGAGAATTTTCTTGACTGTTAGAACAATTAATCAGTGGAGCCAATTGCCTCCAGAATTTGTGAATGCTCCAACACTGGAAGTTTTTAAGAAGACATTGGATAACTATTTGCCTGAAGTGATGTAGGATTTCCTGCCTAAGTAGGGGGCTGGACTAGAAGACCTCCAATTCTGTTATTCTGTTCTATGCTTATAATTGATACTTGAAAGTAAAAATGACTTAAGTTGTCTTTGAAACTTTGTGAGATTGATGTCCTAAGGACATTATAGCCATCAGAAGAAAGTGTTCCAACAGTCATATTTTACCCATAAATCAATTGTGAATTAGGGTTTTTTTTGTAAAAAAAATATTGAATTATTTTCAAACTATATTGTGTATTTTTAAGCAATTTTTAATTTAATGCCCAAATATTCAATGTTAGACCAATTCTTTTATGTGTCTAAATTTGTTCTTCCACACAAAGTTATGAGAAACCCAAGGGAGATCTGTGAATGTTCTTCCTTTCATTATGTAGTCATATTTTCCAATGGACCACAGCCTCCTTGGCTTGCACCCTTTAGTTAAATCCTAGGAGAAAACATTACAAAGAATATTTTTCGTTGGTCTGTTTCCGTAGTGCTACTTCTGTCAAAGCTAATGGGGATTCCTATTCATATGAAGCTATTGAAAAAGTTCCTCTACTTGGATAAATTAAAAGAATTATCAACTCTCAAATTACTTTGAAAGTTTGAAAAGGCCATTTGTGCCAGCTGTAGTTTTAAATACTACATGCAACATTGTTTTTGCTATTTCCAGTATTTACTCAGTTGCTCCTGAAATTTTGCCAGAAGTGCAGGAACACTATTGGCAGATGCTATGAATAGGAAAATATAACTATTTTGGTGAGCAGAAAAAATCAGAAACAGTATGACATTCCATTTTCAAATGAACTGCATTGGAATGAATTCCAGGCTGTTAATGCTATTGTTAAGCATCATTAAAAAAAAGTCATGCTTCTGTGAAAAGGCAGCGGCAACAGTGGGAGTGAATATAGCTGAATCCCCAGCAATAGATTCCATTCCATAGATATGGAAATAAAAAGAATGCATGGGTCTGGATGCTTCATGTCTGCTCCAATGATTGAGGGCTATTCAGCTTGCAGAACCATGAGGCTGGCTTTTAATAATATGCAACTGAGAAAACCTTTATATCAGGAAGTTCATTTTGCCCAAAATATTAAGTACTACACTTCAGCTCATCACATAAGAATGTAATGACAGTTTGTCTGTATTCTATATGCAACAAAGCGGATAGAATACAAAATTCAGTTTGTTGCTTTGGAGGAATAAGAAAAAATGCTATTTTTGGATTATTGTCAGATAGAAAAAAATTATAAAAATCAATTTTTGTTGAAATTTTGGAAAATCTTAATAACAGTCTTAGACAACATGACAGCTTCCATCTGCAAAGTTGACAGAAATACATCTGCATAAATATATGTAGTCAGAATTTAAATTAAAATATACAGTCCATTTGTTTTAACTGATCTGTACAATATACCTTGCATATTGTCTATCATAGGGATCCCCAATCCCTGGGCTGCATCTCAGTACTGTGCTGCAGCCCATTGGGAGCAAGTGACTGCGTGAGCGCACAAAGCTCCATTTGTGCAAAAAGCATATATTTTTTTTTATATTTTATTAAGCATTTATAGGCCGCCCTTTTCCCTGAGGGGACTCAGGGCGGCTTACAATAATAGGGGAGGGGAGTNGGGCCCGTTTTTGGGAGGTCTGCAGAGTGCAAAACCTTTTTTTTAAAAAACATTTGCTTCTTCACAATCTTGGTGCGTCTTGTACTCCGAAAAATACGGTAGACAGGAGGAGTAACGCCAAAGGATCAGGGAATGGGGTGATTGATATTCACTTACAGCATTTTTCGGAGTATAAGGCGCACCCTTCTCCCTCAAAAAAGAGGCTGAAAATCTGGGTGCGTTTTATACACTGAATACAGCATTTTTTTGCCTTCCGAAACCCCACCCCTTTCACCAAAATGGCCGTGCATTGCCTCTAGGAAGCTTTTAGAGAGCTCCTGGGGGCTGAGGAGGGCAGAAATGAGCAAAATATGGCCCATTTTTTGCTCAATTTTACCCCCCTAGTCCCCAAGAGCACTCAATAAGCTTCCTAAAGGCTATCCGTAGCCTTTTTCTTTATGAAAAATGTGCCGTTTTTTGGCCTCCTGACCTCCCCAGGAGCACTCTGCAAGCTCCCTAAAGGCTATTCGTGCCTTTTTGTGGGGGGAAAAACGGGCCCGTTTTTGTGAAAGATGGGCCGTTTTTGGGAGGTTTGCAGAGTGCAAAACCTTTTCTAAAAATTTCCCTCTTCATAACCTTGCTGCGTCTTATACTCCGAAAAATACGATACTTTCCCTACTGGCTCGCAAATGCGAGTGCTTCGCTTGCATGTGGCCCGTTCGCGCATGCACTCAGGCTTCCGTGCATGCGGTTTGGCTTGAAAACGTGCCTAAACGGGAGGTCATAGAACTGGGATGGGTGGGTGGGGGCGGGCCTACCGCCTCTGACCAGGGACGCTCACGGAGCGCGAGCTCTCTCTCTCTCTCTTTCCATCCATCCGAATTCCTCCGCCAGCCAGTTGAAGTCCCCAAGTTTTAAAGCAGTTAAGGCTGGAGAACCCTGGTCTAGGCTAGGGGTCGGCCACATTAAACACTCAAAAGAGCCACAAAGATCCTAACCGGAAGTCCCCTGCTCAATTCTGGAGCCGGCTGGAAGTCTGGTTCCCCAACACCATAGAGTCTCCTCCTAGCGCAGCCTCATTTTTCCTCTGCTGACCGGAAGTCCGGTCCCCCCCCCCCCAACCATAGAGTCTCCTCCTACCACAGCGTCCTTTTTCCTCTGCTGACCGGACGTCCGGTTCCCCCACCATAGAGTCTCTTCCTAGCACAGCGTCCTTTTTCCTCTGCTAACCGGAAGTCTGGTTTGATTTGATTTGATTTATTGCATTTCTATGCCGCCCTATTCCCAGAGGGACTCAGGGCGGCTCCCCCACCATAGAGTCTCTTCCTAGCACAGCATCCTTTTTCCTCTGCTAACCAGAAGTCCAGTTCCCCCCCCACCATAGAGTCTCCTCCTAGCACAGCGTCCTGCTTACCGGAAGTCCGGTAAGTTCAGTCCCCACAACTGTAGAGTCTTCTCCTAGCGCGCCATTCTTTTTCCTCCACCTGTCCTAACCAAAATCCCTATCCATTGTGGAGCCGACCGGCGACAGGGAGCAGAGGGATAAAAGAGCCACATCGGTTGCCGATCCCTGGTCTAGAACCTTCGAAAGAGAAATTGGGGAGTGGGGGAGCACACCCACCCTATCTCTCTGGATTTGCTCAGTATCGCCCCTTGGACGTCGTTTTTTTTGGGGGTGGTGGTGGGGGAGGGCAAAGGCTAAAAGCAGAGACCTCACGAATATTTTGCTGCTCCAACTCATGCCTTCGGATCATCGTTTTCCGCTTGAAGAAACGGCAGTTTTTGTCGTAGTAGAGTCTCTGCTGGCTGAGAAGATGCGCCTCTTCTTCAGCCTGTGTGTGCTGCAGATTTTCTTTGTGTTTGGAGATCCTTTCCTGCTTCTCCTTCTTGGGTGTGCTGTGATCCTCGTTCATCTCCTGAAAGGGGGGCCGGGAGACCAGGGGGGGTGTTGAGTAAAAGGCCAATGGGCTACAGCAGAATGAAAACCGGCACTGCGTCCGATGACTCTTTGGGGGGAAGCGCCCTGCGTAGAGCCAGGGTCCCTCGTCTAATCTCTCTCTCTCTCTGTCGCTAACAGGGTTCCTTTCTAACACTGATGACATTACTTGGTTAGGTAATGAAACGTCTGCAAGGAAACAACCAAGCTTCCTTCTACTTCCCTTTCTCCTTCCCTCCTTTTCCCCTTCCCTTTCTTCCCTCCTCCTCTTACCCTTCTCCTCTCTTCCTCTTGCCCTTCACCCTCCTCCTTTTCCACTTTCCTTTCTCCTTCCTCCTCCTACTTCTCCCCTCCTCTGGTTCCCCTCCCCCCCTCTTCTCCTTTTTCACTTCCCTTTCTCCCTCCTCCACTTCCTTGTCCTTTCCTTTCTCCCCTCCTTTTCCCCTTCCCTTTCTTCCCTCCTCCTCTTCCCCTTCTCCTCTCCTCCTTTTGGCCTTCACCCTCCTCTTCTCCTCTTCGCCTTTCCTTTCTCCGTCCTCCTCTTCCTTCTCCTTCCATTTCTCCCCTCCTCCTCTTCCCCTTTCCCCCTCCTCTCCTTTTCCACTTTCCCTTTCTCCTCTCCTCCTTTTGCCCTTCCCCTCCTCTTCTCCTTTTGTCCTTCCCCTTTCTCCCTCCCCTGATTCCTCCTCCTTCCATTTCTCCCCTCTCCTTTTCCCCTTCCCTTTCTCCCCTGCTCCTCCTCTTCCTCCCCACGGGGGCGCGTCATTCTGGAGGTGGTTAATGGGATGAGATGAGACCCCACCTCCTCTCCCACCAGTTCATTTTGCTCCTTCACCTTCCCCAGATCTGGAGAGCGCCTCCTTGCCTCTTTAATCTTTTCTTTGCAAATCTTGTATTGCTTCTTCTGACTTTCTAAGAAATTGGTCAGATCCCTCTTCTGCTGAGCCAAAATCTGTTGCTGGAACTTCTTCTCATCTGCTGCCGCTGTCTTAGCCTGTGAAGGAAAAAAAAAGGCTTTTTTAAAATTAAAAAAAACGACCCATGTTTTCAGGGTTCAAGACTGTCATTTTTTTCATTATTTTTTTTTCATTTTCATTTTTCATTTTATTAAGCATTTATAGGCCGCCCTTTTCCCTGAGGGGACTCAGGGCGGCTTACAATAATAGGGGAGGGGAGTGCAGGACAAAACACAAAAAGAAAATGTGAATAAAAATAATTAGCAATAAAAGACCCAACATTCACTCAACATTCGGGAGGGGCGAGAGTAAAGTCTTATCCCCAGGCCTGACGGGATAGCCAGATCTTGAGGGCCGTGCGGAAGGCCTGGACGGTGGTGAGGGTGCGGATCTCCAAGGGGAGATTGTTCCATAGCGTCGGAGCTGCAACTGAGAAGGCTCTCCTCCGCGTAGTCGCCAGTCGGCACTGACTGGCGGATGGAATTCGGAGGAGGCCTACTCTATGCGATCTGATGGGACGGAGGGAGGTAATCGGCAGAAGGCGGTCTCTCAAATAGCCAGATCCACTACCATGGAGGGCTTTATGAATGGTAAGAAGGACCTTGAAGTGCACCCGGAGACCAACAGGTAGCCAGCGCAGCTCACGGAGGATCGGTGTTATGTGGGCGAACCGTGGTGCGCCCACAATCACTCGCGCGGCTGCATTTTGGACTAGCTGAAGTTGCCGGATGCTCTTCAAGGGCAGCCCCATGTAGAGCACATTGCAGTATTCCAGCCTAGAGATCACAAGGGCTCGAGTGACTGTTGTGAGGGCCTCCCGGTTCAGGTAGGGCCGCAACTGGGGCACCAGGCGAACCTGGGCAAATGCCCCCCTGGTCACAGCTGATAAGTGGTGGTCAAAACTCAGCTGTGGGTCCTTTCCGTCATTTAGGGGACGGAAAGCTAAAACGTTAAGATGAACGGTTGTGGGAATTTGGGCATTCTAGAGAAAAGAAGGGGACCAGGACTGACATGATAAGCAATTTTCCAGGGTTTCTTCTTTCTTTCTGTTCTACTGTTCAGTTTTTATGGTTGTGAGCCACCCACAGTCTTGTCTGCCCATCTTTCAGTCTTATATAGGCGCCCCAAGTGACACGCAGTGACCCCGGTTGGTGCATAATGTGTCAACCCTGAGATGGATCTGGCTGAGGCTTTAGGGTTGCCACACAACAGAAGGAGGGAGGAAATAGTTAGATGAGGTTTTGTAGCCAAAGCAATGAAGTTTTCTTGTGGGAACCAAGGACATTCTCACCGGTGGCTGGCCAGGGGAGGAGTAAAGTAACCAAGCAACCGGCCAGCTCCTGGATTGGACAATGTGACCGAGGCTGTATCATTACGGGCCATTCACACCCCTTTAATGATTCACAACCAGCCTGTGAAGAGTCCCGACAGAAGTCTGCCAAAGTCTTTCGGGATAATGCTGATAAGTACCCACCTTTATCTCCCTTGAAACGCTGCCAGAGACCTAACTGCCAATTAGTTTTGCAAGGCCAAATGGAGCACAGAGTCAAAACGGAGCTTCAGAGTTTAAACCGACCACAAGGAACAAAACTGCTTCCTTGCAAAGGCTCACGTCCGTTTGCTCTTTTATGTCTTATGGGAGAGGCCAATCATCTCCCAAGCCTTACTCCCGAGTCGCCCCTTTGGTCTTAACTGTTCTTGCCTTCTGGAAGCTCTGTGCATGAGCACAGTGGGAACAGGCTCCCGCTGTTCTTCTGCCTCTCTAAGGTCAGACTTCGGAGGCAGCACATAACTACCAGTGCTCCGGAGAGAGCACACAACTACCTTCCATCTCAGGTAGGCGGGGGAGAGATGAAATTGGGGAGAGTTGGTGTGTACAATGACCTGCACACTGCCCCACCAGGCATCTCAAGGGGTCATGGAATCTGGGGGGGGGGGGGGCTTCTGAATCCCTCAGTCCCATCCCGCAGGAGAACCCGGCTCACCTCCTTCTCTATGACGGCCACCTGTTTCTTGGCTAGCTTCTCCAGTTCAATGGACGAGTTGTTGGCATGGGTCTCCACCTCTTTCTGCAGCTTGAGGCGGTGTTCGTCCATTTCAGCCTTCAGCTTGTTTTCCAGGGCGATCAGCTGCTTCTGGTGCTGGCGCCGCATCCGTTTATATCCTGACATCTGTTCCCGCAACTCGTTCTCCTGCTCATGCTCATGGATCTGCCTTGTAACCTGTGATCGGCCGAGGGGAGGAAAGAGGGAGAAGAGACAAGAGTTAGCGCCTGCCTGGAGGAAGGAGGCCACCAAGACTGATGGCCTGGGCTCTAAGGCAATTTGCCATAGCCACCTCGCCATGGGCAATTCACTGTGGGATGACTCGCCACCACCAACTTGCTGCGGTCACCTCACCATGGCCAACTCTCCATGGCCATGTCTCCATGGCCAATTCTCCATGGCCACCTCACCATGAGACAACACTCCATGGCCAACACTCCATGGCAAACTCACCATGGCCACCTTACCATGAGGCAACTCTCCATGGCCACCTCACCATGAGACAACACTCCATGGCAAACTCTCCATGGCCACCTCACCATGGCCACCTCAAAATGAGACAACTCTCCATGGCCAATTCCAATTCTCCATGACCAACTCTCCATGACCAATTCTCCATGGCTACCTCACCATGAGACAACACTCCATGGCCAACTCTCCACGTCCATCTCTCCATGGCCAACTCACCATGGCCACCTTACCATGAGACAACTCTTCATGGCCAATTCCAATTCTCCATGGCCAACTCTCCATGACCAATTCTCCATGGCCACCTTTCCATGGCCACCTCAGCATGAGACAACTCTCCATGGCCAACTCACCATGGCCAATTCTCCATGGCCAATTCTCCACGGCCACCTTACCATGACAACTCTCCATGGCCAATTCCAATTCTCCATGGCCAACTCCCCATGGCCAACTCTCCATGAGACAACTCATCACCACCAACTTGCTGCGGCCAAATCACCACGGTAAGCTTGCTGTGGCCCCCTCACCACGGCCAACTCTTCATGGACAACTCGCTATGACCAACTCATTACCGTGAACTTGCTGTGGCCAATTAGCCACGGCCACCTCAATGTGGGACAACTCTCCATGGCCAACTCACCATGGGACAACTCTCCATGGCCAACTCACCATGGGATAACTCACCACAGCCATCTTACTGCGGCCACCTCGCCAGAGCCACCTCTCCATGGCCAACTCGCTATGGCCAACTCATCATGGCCAATTTGCTGTGGCCAACTTGCCACGGTAAGCTTGCTGTGGCCCCCTCACCACGGCCAACTCTTCATGGACAACTCGCTATGACCAACTCATTACCGTGAACTTGCTGTGGCCAATTAGCCATGGCCACCTCAATGTGGGACAATTCACCAAATTGCTGTGGCCACTTCACCACGGTCAACTGACTATGGAGTGGGGTGGCAGGCAGAGGGAGAGAGGGAAAGGGAATGGGTGGGGTGAGAGAGAGGGGGGAGGGAAAGAGAGAGAGATAAAGGTAGGAGGAAATGAAGGAAGGAGAGAGAAAGAAGAAAGAAAGA